TGTGGTGCTGGAGAAGAGTGTTGAATATACCATGGACTGCTAGAACAAAAAGGTTTGTCCTGGAGAGGGTGAAGCCAGAGAGTTCCCTTGAGTCAAGGATTCTGAAACTTCGTCTGACATACTTTGGGCATGTTGCAAGGAGGGACTGGTCTTTGGAGAGGGACATCATGTTTGGGAGAGAGGAGGGACAGCGCAGCAGAGGAAGACCCTCAATGAGATGGATCGATTCTGTGAGTGGAGTGGTGGGAATGAATGTGTTTGAGACAGCGAGGTTGGCACAGGATCGAAAGGCGTTTAGGGCTCTTGTACATAGGGTCGCTATGAGTCGCAAACAACTCGATGGCACATAACAAACAACAATTCCAAGCAGTGGATTAGCTGGATCATATGGAATTTCTGTGTTCACCTTTTTGAGGAAATGCCAGACTGATGGAGAAAATGCAAAAGATGCAAGAAAGACTTGATAGTATAGAGAAAGAGGTACAAGAACTTAACAAATCATCACAAGACAAAGAGGGTACAATCAACATAGTACTGGAAATAACAGAGAAGCACGAAAATGCAATCTAGAATATTAAGACCTACGTGGCAGAAGTGTCTAACACACTGGTGGGACAAAAAAAATTAGAACTGAAGAAGTGGAACAGAGAGTCAGTGAGCTAGAAGGCAAGAGCTTCACTGGAAACATACTACAAGAAAAAAAATCAGAGATGCCATGTAAAGAAAATGAAGAGACGTTAAAATAATGTGGGATGTTGTTGCAATATTGAAAGGTCCTATGGGAAATATGTTGACTGACCTAGGAAGCATCAAAAGAAGATGGAACCAGTGGAGGAAGTTGAAACTGCACTGAAGGCATTGGTATAAAACAAGGCCCCAGGAATTGATGAGATACCAGTTGACTTGTTTCCATTAATAGATGCAGTCTTGGACACAGTCATCAGTCTTTGCCAGGAAATTCAGAGGACAGCTGTCTGGCCAACAAGATTGGAAGAGGTCTATATTTGTTCCATTCCCAAGAAAGGTGGTCCAACAGAATGTGGAAACTATCGAACAATATTATTAATATCACATGCAAGCAAAATACTGCTAAAGATAATTAAAAAACATCTAGAACAGTATGCAGATAGGGAACTGCCAGAAATTTAAGTAGGATTTAGAAGAGGCCATGACACCAGGAATAACATTGCTGATGTCAGATCGATCCTGGGTGAAAGTAATGAATACCAGAAGAATGTCTATGTTTTATTGACAATGCAAAAGTCGTTGACTACATGGATCATAGCATGTTATGGCTAACCTGAGCAGTAATTTTGCCCATGTGTAACCTAAACCTAGTCCAAGAGGCTGTGGTGTGAACAGAACATGGTTAAAATTTAAGAAGAGAATCTACCAGCTGCTCTGTAGGAGAAAGATGGGCAGCATTCTCATATGTGGTTTATAGCCTCTGAAAATCTGGGGGAGCATCAGCTATGGGTCAATTCTGATTAAATGGTACATAACAATTTAATAGATAAACAAAGATTTGCTTATATCTGCTTATATTGTTACTTTCAGATCTCTAGGGGATATTGTTGTTGTTGTTGTTGATTGCCTTCTAGTCAAGCATGACTCATAGCGACCCTATGAACAAAAGGCCTGAAGCCCCTTGACAACTATTGGCATTTATCGACATAGGGTTTCCGGAGGCATGTTGTTTAGGAAGGGATATATATCTGGGGATAATAGTTCTCTTTAAAACGTTTTAAGGATTCAGTGTACTATTTTCCAGAATTGTACCATTTTACATTCTCACCACAAATAGATAAGGGTTAAAATCTGTACATATATTTACCAACAATTATTATTTTCTATTTGTTTGATTAATGCCACTCTAATAGGGGTAATGTATCTAATAATTCTGATTTTCATTTTTTAATTGCTCATGGCTCTGAACATCTTTATATTATATCTGATTGGTTGCTTGGGTATCCTCTTTGGTGAAGTATCTATTAACCTTCTTTGCCCCATCATCTACAATTTGAAATATAAATCTTGAGTACAATAACATGTCAAAGTATAGGATCAGAATGTTTGTCTAATAAGGAGAGGTATGAGAATAGTCTTCCTGGATACATACTATTACTGACGGTAGAAGAATGCAAGTATATTTGTTGCTCTTAAAGAGCTCAGAGTTTAGTAAAAGTGAAAAATGTAATAATTAGCACAATAGAGTTCTAATTGAGACTTTTACTAGTTGCAGTTGAATACCAAAGAAAGAGCACCTAATTTTGTGTTTCAGAATGAGAGGTTAACATGTCATGGAGTAAAGGGATTTGGGTGTCTGTTTCTAGGAAGGCTATTTTACAGATAGACTATCACCCATCATAATTAAGGAACTTGCTAGCTTCATTCATCTTGGTTTCTTAAGAAATGAATGTCATCCCTTATGAGAAAAAAAAAATTGGGGGCTATCTTAAGCCATAGTACTGAAAGTAAGTTCTGTGATTGATTTTTAGAATTAAAACAGTTAGAGTGCCAGAAATTACTTCTGTAAAAAATGATTGTTTTCATCTTGCAGATGATTATATAAATGTTTGTGTGGCTTTTCCCCCCTCCTTTTTAGAGAGGTGGTTGACTCAATGGTCCAGCATTTCAAAGTAACTATATTTGGGGACCGAAGACCAGTATATGATGGAAAAAGAAGCCTATACACAGCCAATCCACTTCCTGTGGCAACTACTGGGGTAAGATGTACCTTTCTAAATTTTTGCAATGTCTCCTTCTAAATGATTTTGTTACCATTTTATTGTAATTTATATTTATAATTATGTATGTATGTGGCATTTAAAGCTTAAAGCATATAAATGAAATATTTTCAGACTTAGAGAGAAGTTGTAATAATAAAGCAGAGAGTTTTCCCTTTCCCAGTGTGGTATTTACCTAAAAGTTGGCTTTTTTAGCCATTACAGTTAACCCCCTGTGGTCTCAAACTATCTTAACTGTAGACACATGGTCTTCCAAATCAGCATGGTCTTGCAGATTATCAATAGACATAGGACTAGGATAAGAGAAAGAGTGTGTTTTCACACAGGAGTTGGTGAGACTTGAGGAGAGCAAGAGTTGGGGCAGCAAGACTTGAGGGAGATTAGAGCAGATGATGAGACCCTGGTGATGGTGGTGTTGAAACTGTGGCATAGCTATGTGGAGAAACTGTAGCGGGTGTGACCTGAGGCTTCTTGCATTTTTGCTGGCCACAGTTAAAGGTTTTTGTTAAAGGAGAAGCTGACGTGTAACTGTTCAGGGGCAAACCTCGCTGGATGATTGGGATTTGACTACTGAACTGAAACCAGATCCTAAACTAATTGAATTGTGCCTTAAGACTGTTTGTGTAAACTTGCACTTGTAACGTGAGATATTCTTTGCTTCTCCAATCTCAAACTTAGTTCCCTAATAAACCCCGTTTTCAGGATCACAGTTGTGAGTCTGTTAATCAGCAACAGCTAAATGAACCTCTGGCTGTAGGTGTGGCTCTACAAGCACCATGGAACTGGGCTTTATTTGCTTTCTGCTCCTGGGTGGTGAGGTGCTGTGCTATTTTTACTGCTCTGTCCCGTTTCAGAAAGATGCTCATGGTCCTGTGCCTCAGTGTCCCATTTTCTGCTTTTTAGACACCCAGATTCATCAGTGTTTTATTTTGCCACGTTTGTCTTATGATTCTCCCTTCTACTCTTTTATTCTGTCTTTGTAACTCTCACTCACTCTCTCATTCACTCAGTGCCCTCAATATAAAACTCAGTCTCTGCCAGATTTTCAGAGGCTGTAGATCACATGGAAGGAGATTGCCTATCTTTCTCTCTCAGAGCAGCTGGTAGATTCAAACCACTGGCTTTTGGGTTGAAAGCATTACTCCGTACTAGACCACCAGAGCTCCCTCTTTGTAGCTGTAGGTATAGATAGATAGATATATAGATAACTTTTTGTTATATGCTGTCTAGTCAGAGCAAGCACCATGAATCTCCAGTGAGTTTGCAGAGGCTATAAATTGCACAGGAGGAGATTGCCCATCATTCTGCGAGTAGCTGATGAGTTCAAACCACCAGCTTTTGTGTTGGCAATACAACTCCTTACCACTAGGCCAACAGAGCTCCCAGAAAGATGCTGCTGCTTCTTGTTATGTGCCATCAAGTCTACTGTGACTCACCGCAACCCTATTAACAGTAGTTCTGAAACCTGTACTATCCTGAATCAGTCTCACTGTCCCAGGCATGCCTGTACCCTTACCATAGTTATTGTGTCAGTCCATCTCATCCAGGGTATTCCTATTCTGCACTGTCCCTTCACTCTTCCAAGCATGATGTCCTTCTCCATGGACTGATCCCTTCTGGAAACATACCCAAAATATGTGAGACAGAGCTTCAAAGTCCTTGTCTCCAAGGAGAAACTTAGTTTCACTGTCTGCATAATTATTTCTGCTTACTTGTCTGAGATTAGGTTAAAGATATCATGCCTCTTTAAAGGTTACTACTTCAATGTATATTTCCTAAAATCAAGGATAGAGATCACAGTATGGTAACCACCTTCACTAACGTAATATTGTTATTCTTGTTAGGAGCTGTCTAGTTGAATGCAGCTCATAGTGACCCTATGAACAACAGATCAGAACTTTGTCCTATCCTGGACCATCCTCACAATTTCTGCCATTTTCAAGCCCATTGTTGCAGTCACTGGATCAGTCCATCTCATTGAGGGTCTTCTTCTCTTTTGATGAACATCTCCTTTTCCAACCATGATGTCTTTTTCCAAAAACTTGCCCCTTGTAACAACATGTCCATAGTTTATTAGACAGACTTTTACCATCCTTGCAACTGAAGAGAACATTGGTTGCACGTCCTGCAAGACAAATTTCTTTGTTCTTTTGACAGTCCATGCAATATTCGGATGGGATACCAATTGATTTTTTCAGTTAACAGATGCATCCTTGGATGCACTCACCAGACTATGCCAGGAAATTTGGAGGACTGCTGTCTGGCCAATGGATTCGAAGAGGTCCATATTTGTTGCTATTCCTAAGAAAGGTGATCCAGCTGAATGTGGAAATTATCAAACAATATCATTGATAGCACATGCAAGCAAAATACTGCTGATGATCATTCAAAAATGGTTGGAACAGTACATAGGGAATTGCCAAAAGTTCAAGCAGGATTTAGAAGAGGCTGTGGAATCAGAGATATCATTGCTGATGTCAGGTGGATCCTGGCTGAATGTAAGGATTACCAGAAGAATGTCTGGTTTATTGAATGTCTGGTTTATGCTTTATTGACTATGCAAAGGTGTTTTGACTGTGTGGATCATGGCAAGTTGTGGCTGACATTGAGAAGAATGGGAATCCTAGAGCCTTTGATTGTGCTTGTGAGGAACCTATACCTGGATCAGGAGGCTGTTGTGCAAATGGAGTAGGGAAGTACTTTGTGGTTTTGAATAGGGAAGGGAGTGTGTCAAGGATGTAGTCTATCTCCAAACCTGTTCAATCTGTATGCTGAGCAAATTATCCAAGAAGCTGGACTCTATGAAGAGAAGTGTGGCATCAGGATTAGAGGGAGACTCATCAATAACCTGCGTTATGCAGATTTGAAGCACTTGCTGCAGAAGATCAAGGAATGCAGCCTTCAGTATGAATTGTGTCTCAATATCAAGAAAACAAAGATTCTTACCACTGGATCAATAGGCACTGTCATGGTGGATGGAGAGGTGATTGAAACTGTTAACAGCTTCATCTTGCTTGAATCCACAATTAACACCCTTGGTACGAAGAGTCAGGAAATAAGGAAACACATTTCACTGGGAAAATCTGCAGGTCGGGACCTTTCCAAATTATTGTGGAGTAGTAATGTCAGTTTGAGGACTAAGATGTGTCTGATTGAGGCCACAGTATTTCAAATTACTAGCTATGCATCTGAGACCTGGACAGTGAATAAGGATGACAGAAAAAAAATTGATGGCCTTGAGCTATGGTGTTGTAGAAGAGCACTGAACATCCCATGAACGGCTAAAAGAGTTAATAATATGTCTTGGAGAGGGTGCAACTGCAGTGCTCTTTGCAGGCAAGAATATGAGGCTTTACCTCACATACTTTGGACCTATTGCTAGGAGGTTCTCTTCCTGGAGAGGGACATGATGTTGGGCAGGGTGGAGGGTCAGCAAAGGAGAGGAAGATCCTCAAACAGGTGGATTGACAAGTGAGTGCTGCCATGGGTTCTTATGTGTTAGGAAGTATGTGGATGGCACAGGACAGGAGTAGGTTTAGATCTTTTGTTCATAGGGCTGCTATGAGTCATGCTCAACTTGATGGCACCTGACAACAACAACCACCACCAACACAATTAAAATGTATCACTTCTTTGGATTTCCTTAGTCATTGTCCACCTTTCACATGCATTTGAAGCAGTGCCTTGGGTCAGGTACACCTTAGTCTAAATGGATTTCCTTGTTCCTTAGTACTTTAAGAGGTCCTTGACAGCAGATATGTCAGTGCAACATGTCTTCATTTCTTGGCTGCTGGTGAGCATGTCCAGGGCTGAATCTGTTGGTTGAAACAAGACCTTATTTTTTTGCCAGTGCCTTCAGTGCAGCTTAAACTTCTTTCATTGTTATTGGCGCCAAGTGAATTCTTCTCTTTTTACTCTCCAACTCTAGCTGTCTGCACATTCTAATATAGTACTTTGCTTTGTTTTCTCAAGCTGCCTTTTGAAATCTTCTGTTCATCCCTTTTACTTCAGCATTTCTTCCCTTTGTTTTGACTTCTCAACACTCTACTGCAATTTTTAGAGTCTCATCTGACACCCATTTTGGTCGTTTCTTCCTCTTCTGTCTTTGTAACAAACTTTTGCTTTCTTCGGGGATGATATCTTTGATGACATCCCATAGTTCATCAGATCTTCAATCATTAGTATTCAGTGCCTCAAACCTATTCTGGAGATAATTTTTATAAATTTTAAATTGGTGAGATAAACTCAAGGTCATATGTTGGTTCTTGTGGACTTGTTTTAATTTTCTTCAGCTTAAATTTGAATTCGCATATGAGACATTTATGGTCTCTTCCACTTTTCCAGAAATTTGAGCTGAGTTTGGAAGAGGCTGTGGCACCAAAAGAATCATTGCTGTTGTCAGATAGATCTTGACTGAAAGCAGAGAATATCAGAAAAACATCTGTCTGTACTTTATTAACTATAAATAGCTATTCAGTACTCTTCTCCAGCACCATAGTTCAAAGGCATCAATTCTTCTGTCCTCTTTAGTCTTTGTCCAGCTTCTGATGCATAACAGGTAATTGTGAAGATCATGGCCTTGGTCAGGTGCACCGTAGTCTCTTGAATGACTGACATCATTGCTCTTTTGAACTTTGGAAATGTCGTTGGAAAAAGTGCAGCCAGAGTGCTTCTTGGAGGCAAGAATGACTAAGCTTCATCTTACATACTTCAGGCATGTTGCTACGAGAAGGTCGGCCTTGGAAAGAGAGATCATGCTTGGAAAAGTGGCAGGTCAATAAAAGAAAGAAAGACCATCAGTTAGACAGATTGACACAATAACTACAGTAATGGGCTTAAGTGTTTTAGAGATGATGAGAATTGTATAGAACACAACAGGGTTCAGATTTGTTGTTTATAGGGTCATTGTAAATTGTATTCAACTTAACAACACCTCACAATAATCTGCTATAAGTGTTGATTGTGGATCCAGGTGAAATTTTTGACAATGTCAATCATTTCTCTCTCATGACTTTACCTACTGATTAAGTGCTGAGGATTATAATTTCTTGATGGTGGTATGTTATCCATCAAAGGCTGAAGTCTTTAATCTTTTTAGCAGATGTTTCAAGTCCTCTTCAATTTCAGCAGTCAAAGTGGTATTATCTATGTAATGCAAGTTGTTAATGAATCTTCCTCTAATTCTGATGCCACATTCTTCTTCATATAGTCCAGTTTTTGAATGATTTGCTCAGTATACAGATTGAATAGATTGGTATGTTGTTGTTGTTGTTGTTATGTGC